CTCTGTGATTTTTGGTAGTGTTTAAAACTGCTTTAAAAAAACTCCTTCAAAGTCGAATGTCAGCTAATACTTTTTGTATGCTTCCAGATTGCGGCCGTGAGTCCGGCAGACCTCTATTACAAAGAAACGTTGTCAACCTTACGATATGCTGAAAGATACGCTTTCATAATGTTTCCCATTCTGGTCCTGCTGCAAATTGCAGTCAGGTGCTGGGCAAAAGGACAAAAGATACCCCTTGAAGTGATTGACAGCTCTGGATGAAGAAAGAGTGAATCTGTCAATATGCAAAGGCAGCAGATTAAGAGCTCATTCTGTATTCTTATTAACGAATGGCGTATATTTTTACAACTATGTTGTAGGACAGGGGTAACTGTTTTTCCTGAGAATTCTGGGTCTCTCTCCTACGTGTGACTTAATTCAGCTTCTTTCCTTCCCTTTCCCTGCCAGTAATGCAGCATGTGGTTGAAACGTAGACCATGCCGATGATCCCTGCTGCCAGGTGTTTGTCACCTCTGCTTCGCGATGCCAGATCCCAGCGACAGTGCCGCACGGAGCAGTTCCTTCCTGCCCAGGAGCAGCTCACTTCCCGGCCACTTTCCCAGTCTGTTGGGTCCTTCTGGAGGAGAAGGTTCCCCCCTCTCCTCCCCTTTGCTCTCCTCCTGCCCTTTCTGGGACTCAGGACTGAAAACCGCTCTCTGCAGTCCTTTCAGTCAGGCTTTTGCTGGGACTCCAGCACGACTTGTTCCCTCTTATTCCAGCTGCCCTAAAAAGAGCTCAGGCACTTCCACGTCTGTTATCCCAAAGCGGATCATGGCTCAGTGACCTTGTAGCTGCAACAGCCCAGCTATTAGGAGATATCAGGCACAGAAAATTTAATTTTTCTAGCATCAATTCAGTCCTGCAAAGAGCTGAATTGCTTTCACGTGCCGACGAGCGCAGGCCAAGAAACTCCCCACACCGGAGCCAGCTCTGTGCAGGGGCAGCTGGAGTTGCCTCTGCAGGGGATTTGTCTGCCTACCTGGCGTACCCGCACTTGGAGTGGATGAGGTCTGGTTTTGAAGTATCCCATCCCACATTGCGCCACGTACCAGGGGCGCAGCAGCAGCGGCTACATTGCTGCAAGTCAGGCTTAGCTGGAGAAGAGGAGGATTTTCCCGGGCTGGCAGGGTCAAAACCAAACCAGGCGGTGATTGCTGGTGGCAGTACAAGAGAGGGCAGCAGATGCTTCCAGCCGAGCAGCAAAGTGGCCTTGAGACTTTCCCACTTGTGAAGTTCCAGAGCTACGCATGATATTTCTGAACAGGGAAAAGAACAGAAGAAGAAGAAGAAGAGTCACATTTGACAGGAAATCTTGTTGTTTGCTGGGATTGTCTGGCTATCAGCTTCTTCTTTTGTCTTTTATCTATTTTCATATTTAAAAGGACAAAAAGATCCAGATGGCTTCTTCAAGCCAGACCAAGAACCCAGATGGCCCAGTTGGCCATATATGCAGAGGACAATTGACTGGAGTCGCACCCTGTCTCCCATGACAGAAACCCAGCAGGCAGACAAAGCCCCTGCTGCGGAGAGCTCCCACTCCTCTCCCCGATCAGCTGAACAGGGAGGATTGGAGGACAGGGGGCAATGTCAACATGTTTCTGCCCGACGCAGCAGGCGCCGCAGGCACATCTGCCCAACAACTCCCACACCTTCCCAAGTCCCACTGCACAATAGATACACTGTCCTGCAGGGGGAACGGAACAACAGTGAGGATGGTAATCCTCCCAGGTTGGAGGACTCGCTGAGGCCTAGTCAGACCACCCCCCGAATCAAAACTTCCTCGGTGAAAAAGAACAGACGGGTCATTGTTATGGGGGACTCAATTCTGAGGGGGGCGGAGGGCCCCATATGTAGACCCGACCCGCTATATATAGAGGTTTGCTGCCTCCCTGGGGCCTGGGTGGGTGACGTTAAGAGGAAGCTTAAGAGATGTGGTGGGATGGCTCACATGACTGGGACATTGTCATGGAGGGCTATGCTCTCTTTAGGAAGGATAGGCCGGAGAGGCGAGGCGGTGGAGTTGCTCTTTATGTGAGAGAGCACCTGGAATGGATCGAGCTCTCCCTGGGAGCAGATGAAGAGCAAGTTGAGAGCTTGTGGGTAAGGATCAAGGGGCAGCGTAATATGAGAGACC